CCACGTTACAGGTATTGGGAGCCATAAGGGCTAGGCCAAAAAGGGTGAAAGAGTCCTAGGCGTAAGATGCCTAGGTCTAGAGCTATAGAGCTAGGGCTCTAAGCTGTGAAAGGAAGATCCAAAAGAGCCGTTATATCATACTATGTATGTAGTATGAGCCAGTGGGCGGAAGAGAACCGTCTGTTCCGTTACATTATAGAATAATATTGCTAGAGTATAAGCTAGTACAATAGATTTCTTCAAATCTCTATAAATGAATTAGCTACTAATCTAACTACTATATATTTCTATTACTAGTCCCAATATATAAGCCGAGATATATTACTTATTTATTTTTTCTTTCTTTCTAAAAAGTTAAAGAATTAAATAAAAAATATATTACTTAGACTATAACTAGATTATATAATATCACTTGAAGTAAATAAATCTCTTAAATAATTATAATAAAAGCCAAGTAAATAGTCTAGATTTCTTTTAATATTTTTATTTCCTATTTTCGTTTACTCTAATTTGATATAGCTAATAGTTAATTAGTTTGATTAATATAATATAATTTAGTTTATATACTCGAGTAGTTTCAATCGATAATTACGCTAGATACTCAATTCATCTACACTACTGAGTAATTAAGTACAAGCTACACTGCTCTAATCCAATAAATCTACCTTTTCCTCCATCCAACATCCAATATCTTATACAGTTATCATAAATCTCTCCTCTACTCAAGTATTTCCTCGGGATCTTCCATATCCAACAGGGATACCGGTACCTTTCACTAACAGTCATCAATTAACTAACTCCCTAGAAATAGAAATACCAGTACGAGAATATATTGCGCTTTTTATTCGTAGTAAATAGCATCCTTAATACAGATATTGCTATTGCATCAAGTATCAAACATATCGTACGAGTATAGTATCCAACAATAAATGCTCAAATATATCCATGGTTCATTCAAAACCCCCACTGCCTGCCTGCACGCAAGAAATATATCAGCGTGATTAGTTAGTTACCACTACCCACTACTAATCACTCATATCTAGCATCAACTCGGGGTACCAACATTTAGTTATGGCTAAATTATGCTACAATTCGTTGACGAATACTTCAACAACCAAACACATAAAGGATCCAGGGATAAGATAGTTAATTTCCACCTAGTCCGGGTCAGTTACAATCCCTCCTCTCATAAAGATTGTATTACATGAAATCATTGCCGTCCCCATACTCACAACCTTGCACCCCTCCTCCCCCATCCGAGTTATCCGTCCTTCCAAGCACCCCCCAGCAACCCTAGCCCTAGCATCACTCACATCACCCGCATCTACAACCCATACCCATACCCATACTCGATACTCCATACCCATAATCCTACCCGGCCCTAAATCTAACTTTTAAACTTTTCACGGGGAAACCATTCCCTAGTTTCCGGATCTAGGTAGGTTCTTGTTTGATCCTTTATCTAGTATTGTGACATAACCCTGTACTCGTAATATATATCGTTAGAGAAATATGGATCTATACAGCCTTACAAGTAAGTTACTATCCATAAATTAAACTTATCATATCTAATGATTCCTTACCCTCGTACGAGTATTCAAAATCCTGTATACCGAAGTATTGCACAAAGTTTCGGTATATCGCCCCAGTATCGCCTAATTATTCCCGATTATTCCCTATAGCGTGACACTCTGCCTATTCCCTACCCATCGTAGCAATTCATTTATCCAACACAATTTAACCCAACCTAATCCCTACTCCAAGTATCCAGTACCTCCATCCATCCAACATCACACCACATCAAACCACATCATACTCCGCTTAACCACCATCCACCATCTAACCATCCAACCATCCAAACATCTAGTTCAACCAACAAATCCAACACCTCCAAAATCCTGATTCTGATCCTAACATGCAAACACTCCAAACATACATCCTCAATTCATAATCACTGAGTCTTGAACCCAACTTATCTTATATCCCTTTCACCACTCCCCTTATATCTCAAACCTCTTATTCAACTCAAGTAATATGTTATGTTATCCTCTATTAACCCATACCTATACTCATATCTATCTAATGCCCATACCCACATCCTTCACTCTCTCATCTCTCCATCCCTCCATCCCTCCATCCCCTCATCCCCTCATCCCCTCGTACCAGCAGCAGCACCAACACCATCTGTAGAAACAAAACAAACAACCCCCTCTTAAACATCATTATCATTATCATATTATATCATATCCTATCAAATCATAACACATCATATCACACCAAACCAAACCAAACCAAACCAAACCACATATAACAAGTGGAATTGGGAATAAATGGAGCTTTTCTTTTCACTTATCACTTATTTTGATGAGATGGGATGAGACGAAAGACTAATCACATGATTTGATCTGATCTGATCTGATTTGATTTGATTTGATTTGATACCCCCCAAAAGTCCCGCAACAAAATACTCACTACACATGGTAAAAATTCCTTGAAACATATAAACACACAAAACTACTCCCAATGCCGGCATCATTATCATGATAAATTTTGCTCCCCTCAATTCCATACTCCATTTACTATGAACCCATTCACTCTTAACTACTCCTCTTCCTTCCCCAACCACCGTACCCGCCAACCCCTCCCCCCCCTTTACTACCCATGCCCAACCCATCATCTTCCGGTGTCCACTCTTCGGGTTGAAAATTTGGATTATTGTAATGCGCTGTATTGTAATGACTATTTTTAAACGTGCTAGTCTGAAAACTAGGCACAGGACCTTCCTGTAAATCGGCTGCTACAGCCCATTCGTATTTACTTGGACGAAAACTTGGTGCTGGTATACCTAATAAAATTGGAGATGGGAGAGCATGAGGATGAGGTCGAGGGAGAGTATGGATAGGTAGGGAGGTTTGAGTGTTTTGAAACGGGTGCGGAGAGGTAAGAATTGGGGTGGGGGTGTTGATTGAAGTAAACGTCGAGTGGGTGGGAATGCTAGAGGCTGAGGTGGCGGATTGTGGTGTTGAGACTGAGTTCCCGGTAGGTGACATGGGTGAGATGGCTGTAGAGATGGTTGGAGGAGCAAAGGATTGAGACATCGGAGATTGATATTGGGAACCGAAATTTGAATATGGTGAAGCAATACTGACACCCGGTATGCTGAGAAGGAGATCCATATTCTGAAATGAATTCATAGGAGCAGTTTGTTGGATCGAATGTTGATGGGAAAAGTTCGTAGCTCGGTTGACTTGGATGTTTGAACTCATCCCAATGCCCTGCCGTAAAAGATCTTTGTACAAGATATCGTAGTGACTAGGCCTGTAAAGGAGATATATGATAGGACCTCCTGGGTTCGTAGGCTGACCATTCGAATCCTCGGCTTGGAACATGTGACTGTTGACTTGTGTTCCTTCACTGCGGTCGAGATAGACGATCTCTACGGCAAACCCCGTGGGTTTCAGTAGAACATCGATGAGTAAAGCCATACCAAGATGATCTATTTCTTGATTGGGCGGCTCCAACCAATCTTTACTATACTGATCGACTCCACCACCGTCTGGTATGAAGTCTTGGTAGTTTTGAGAATTCGCTCTAAGCCATGAGCTTGCCAGTAATCGAAAATGGTACACGATAGCGTTTGAGCTTTCCGAGTTATTGAACCTATCCAAGACGAGAGATTCAGCAGCTTGTATGGAAGTATCCATTAGATCCGCCATATCCCTCAAAAGAGTAGTAGTTTCCTCTACCATATCCTCAAAGAGCCATGCATCGAATCCCCCAGCCGTTATGAGCAAATTGTTCAACGACATCATCCTCGCTAGCTCTTCCTCTACCTGACCCTTGTTCCCGATCCTCAGCAAAGTTTCGAAATAGGAAAATCCCGCCGCTACACCAGACAAATCAGCTTACATTCATACATACCAATATCCATTCATTGATGATTGAATATCATATCATAGTCGTGTGCACGGGTATCATCAAGCACCAAGCTTAAGAAAGAGACTTACCCCGCCATCCACAATTTCCATCGCCAAGAATTGGTCGATAATGAGAATATTTCTGCGGTAATGCCTATCTCCAATTGTTAGTTATTGAATAGTTTGAATAAGTGACCATATTCTGCAATGAAATTCAATTACTTACAGAAGTCTTCGATACATATATTGGATCAGCTTTCGAATATTCTACAGCTATCGCCAAACTGCTCTTCTTTTCCCCCACTAACGGGCCCTACCGCATTTGTCAGTTTACCGGCGTCCGATAGCTCTTTTGAAGCTCCTGAAACTTTTGAAAGCTTCTCAAGTTGATGTAAAAGGTAAAGAAAGGTATTAATCATACCTCTAGAGCCGGTTGAAACTCTCTAGCAAGAGCTTCCTGAGCGTCCATATCATTAACTCCATTATTCTCCATTTTGTATTGTTGCTGATTATGATGTGCGAATGATTGTGGTAACGAAGAGGAGTTGGTGTTGGTGTTGTGGGGTATATTGTTAAAAATTGGTTGCTGCTGTGGATGTGGATGCCGCTGTTGAAATTGTTGCAGGGTATTTCCTAGTCCACGTCCCGTTGCTGTACCTTGTCCCGATTGAGTTGCAACAACAAGTGAAGTAAGATTATCCAAGATTGTTGCAGTTATTGGTGTTGCGTGTGCCGAAGATGAACATTGAGGTAAAATATTCGAACGTTGCTGTTGCTGTTGTGCGTGAGATTGTGATTGTGATTGTGATTGTGATTGTGATTGTGATTGTGATTGTGAATGGGAATGAGAATGAGAGTGAGGATGTTGATGTTGATGCTGATGATGATGATGTGGTTGTTGTGAGTTTGAGATTGAATTTTGATTATGATTGAGGTTGTGGTTGCAATTGTGATGAAAATTGTTGAAGTTCAGAAGTGGTGGTGGAGGTTGCGATTGTGGTTGTGGAGATATATTAAATCCATATGAAGAGAAGGATGAATATGGTGTGGGTTGTGGTTGGAACATCATCTTCTTTGCTTTCCTTCAATCTTTGCTTGAAACTGTTTCTCTCTCTCTCTCTCTCTCTCTCTTCCTTCTCTCTTGACTCTTTTACTTCTTACTTATTCGTCTTTCTTTTTCTCTTCCTTTTTCAAAGATTAAAGATCAAATAAATTCCTTGGTCTGAATTGAATTTAATTGAATTGTTTCTTCCCCTTTGTTGTTCTCTCTTTTCTCCTCACCACGATAAATTGATATATGGTAGAGAAGAAGTTGATCAGCAAAAAAAAAAAAAAAAAAAGCAACGAATAACGAGTAACGATTGCAAGAAGAAGCTTGATAAAAAGCTAGCTGCAAAGACAGAGATCAGACTGGCTTAATGATAATAATTTTATGATTGACAAGAAAGAGTAGAAGGCGGAATGTAACAATAGAGACACAGAGGAGCGATGGGATATTTGAGAAGACTTTTAAAGCAGTTTAAATTGATCGATATCGAATTTGATTTGATATAGGTACTCGAGTAGCGTTATAGCGTTGCCGTAGATTGGTGCAGCAGGTTGGATAAAGATTTTGCTTAGTAGGGAGGTGGTATAGGTGGTTGCAGGTGGTGTATGAAAAATGTATTGCAGTATGAATGTCTGTCTGTCTTGCTTGGATGCTTTTTCGTGGCTTTCTGGGCGCAATGGACTTCGTCTATTGGAGTCTCTGGGGAATTTGTGCTTTATGTGCTTTGATTTCGTGCTACTCACACCAGAACACAATTGGATCATGGATTTCGTCTCGTCCAAGGCCGTATGGGAAGGGAAGGGGAACTGAAGTAACGTAAAGTTTTAAAAAGTATGTACCGAGTACAGTACGTACGGTATGGGTACGAAATATATGTACCGGGTACTCAAAAAGTAACAAGGGGTTGGAGAGAATGTACGGAGTCAAAATGTAATGTATTGTTATGGGGAGAGTGACAGGGTATTGTAGTCAGATCCAGAATATGGATTTGTATTTGGATTTGAAGGAAGTTGTAGATGGATGTGCCGAGCAAGGAAGGACAAGAGGACAAGGACAATGAAGGGGTATTCGAGTATATGTAGCGAGCGAGGGTAGACAAAGTTGGATGGATGTGAGTGAGCGAGTGAGTGGGCCAGTCCAGACCAGTGAGTGAGTGAGTAAGTGAGTGAGAGAAGTGGAGAGTGGATTGATAGGATTGATTGATTGATTTATTTGCCGTATTTTTATATCGATATGAGTTCCTCTTTTTTTTTCACAACCGTTCCAATTGTCTATCGTCTTCTTCAATTTCTTTGTCTTCTTCCCTCTTCTTCTTTTATGCGAGAATGAGAAACCTTACTCAGAAACTCAGTGTAAATTATCGAGGGAATAGAGAGCATGTACTCCAATGATGGTAGCTCTTTCAAACCTTTTTTTTTATCTTCCGTTTCTTACTCGTTCATATGTGTTCAGTTCGTTTTCGATTGCCTTGCCTTGCCTTGTCTTGTCTTGTCTTCTTTCTCTTTCGTTCGCCCGGTCGGTGATGATGGGTTGGGTTATGCATATACCGGTAACCTTACAGCAAATCCAGTAAGTACAAGGGCCCCGCTCAAAACCGTTCGTTCATTCGGGCTTTACTTTCGTATCATGTATGTATGTTCCCCGTTGGCGTTGGCGTTGGATCCCCCGATAAAAATATCTGAGTGTAAGAAATATGCAAAATATATGTAGAGTAATATGTAATATCTCGCTTCTTCTCTCGTCAAGACCTTTTCAGATTCAGCCAAAAGTCTACTTCTTTTAACGATAATTCCTAATGAAACAACATATACAAGAAAATTGTCGGAGGGGAGAAATTTGAATATGGAGATGATTATTCCGTGCTTCATTCCTCTTCTAATTTAACCTTTGTAGATGTCATTGTGATTTTGAGGCGTTATTGATATTGTACTGACTGGCCTTGGGCGTGATCTCATCAATGTAGCCTGATGTATGGCTATGTATGATACTTGTATGGCAATGTTCGATTCGATATCGTACTGTAATGTATGTAACGGATGCTAACTGCCCCACCTTTCCTTCCTGCGAATGCCCGATGAAATTATTCTTCTTCCGTCGGTCGTGGAGCTGCAACTGGGCAGGTTCTCTTACATGCTCGGCTGGTAATTACAAATTACATAACAATACATACTGGTTGGTATTATTGTTCAGAGGAGTCTATCATTATCGAATGTATTCTTCTCATGCATGTCAGTCAGTATACGTGCGTGCTTCAAACTCCAGAACTCCAGAATGCTTTTTAACGCTTTGACATGGAAGTGGTATATATTTGTATGCAATAACTATGTACAAGTCTGGCCATAATAAACACGAATTGCCTCAGAAGTAGGGAAACTTTAAGGATGATCCAATGTACTAGATTGCTTGGTCGCCTGTGCAGACGTTCGACTTTCTCCGCGGCTGCATGAACTTCACACCAATATACCCATAGACACGGCCACTCTATACCGAAGCTTGACCTCCTATGTATCAAGATCTTCACGTAATGTATATGTCTGCATGAATCGCCACAATTTCCACCTTCTAATGGTTACTGTTTCATTTCAGTTCCCTGGTTCGGAGGTATATTTTCATGTATTACTTCCATCCTTGTCTTTCTTCCAGACCGACCGATATCTTACTCACGATATATAGTTCTGTGCTCATCACTCCTCCCGCGCGCTAACAGCGTTTATTTCCCCATAATTGGACCCTTCCCTGATCTAGCTTTATGGCGTTCGATATATCATACCACCCTTGCCTGCTGACACTTAATACGACGTCACGAATTCTCCTTCTTCATTATTGGCCATTTCATTGGTTATTCTCCGTCTTGGCATCTCGATATCGGAACTGTTGGTTGGCAACTTACGAAAACCATCCACCGCATCTCACTTAGGTTTACGGAATGAAAGAAACGGAGAGAGAGGGATCGAGAAAATGAAGGATGCCGTAGAATACAATTGTGGAGAGGATAGAAGGATAAAGGGAAAAAACTATCAAGAAAAGGAGTTCCTTGTGGAAGCCGAAAGGAAGACAACACGGGTAGATGCGTAACCCTTCCGCAATGAGGGGAAAGTTTAGGTTTCACACACGGGAATGTGGCTTTTGTATCACATCACACCCGTGAAGATAAATGAAAAATTTCAATTTCTCGTTTATTCGTTTGTCTAGATTGAGAACTTATTACTCATGTATAGGTTAATAAAAAAGATATATGTTTAACAAGACAGTTGTGGAGACTTATTACTATTCTGAAGTTTACCAATGAAGTTCTTCACTTGAAAACTCCGTACTCCAATGGGGGGGCAGGTTCAAAAGTAGGTAAGCGTGGCAAGCAAGTTAACAACTAACACACTTATTAGACTAGACTCCACTCATCCAACACTTATCCAACAAGAACATTAACATCAATCAACAATTGCTGGGCAAAAATATAAAACAACATGGGGATACTTGTACAAAAATTAACAGCTTCAGATTTTCTAACTTTGAGATAACGCAACCAAACATCAATTACGAAGTGTCAAGATGCGATTGGTTTAAAAAAGGACTCTGAATCGTTTGCGGGCCGTACTGCCGGACAAATTGTAACGATGTAATAATATTTCCACTCGTATCTCTTGTTCTGTCTCGTCTTTTCCAGTTTTTCCGAGGAAGCGGAACGCTCTCTCATTCCCTGAAGGTACTATGCCATGTACTCCCCCGTACCTAGTACCCAATAGTTTAATGGCACCAAAACATGCCCTGTATAGAAGAGAATCGATATGTTAATTTGTACATGGGGGTCTTGTTTATATATACCTCCGGAGATTGCACCGAAGGGTATATTGATGTTGCAATTGGGTGAGGATGGAACTATCTCCTCTTTCATCCTTTCAGTTCTCAGTTCCCACTGTCTCAGTTTCTGCACTGTACGGAATAAGTCGCTACAAAGCATCATTCAATCTGAATAATCCTCATCCTGGCTTGCTTGCGTGCATGTTATACCCTTCCTTATTATGCAGGCCGCCTCCGACTTCACTCTATATTGATTTCTATCCAATTCGAACCGATTATCGCGCACGCACTGCCGCCCATCCGTTTGTTTGCTCGGTATCGTGACTAGGTTTTAAATTATATGCATGAAAATCATGAGTACAACTGGACATTGCATTTTTGTGATGATGATGAGCAAAACGATAGAGTAAGAAGATTTCAAGGATTGGGAACAATTGATGTTCGAGGAAGTTTGCCAAGAGTAAGGTTTAGTAGTAGGGGTTAGATTAGGAACAGATGTATAAATAAAGTATAGTGACATTGATAGACGAGAAACTACCTGGGTATTTCAAACAATTTAAGCTGGGATCAAGGGTTCGGGGAAGCTACAGAATGTCCCCCTAGTACTCGATGGGATGATGTTTTGCTATAAACTTTTAAGAGGAGTTAGTTCAGTAATCTAATTATCGGTACTACTCTAGTAAAAGAGGAGCAGAGCAGAGGGATCTCTTCACGATCCACAATCAATTGAACTTCCTTGAAACGATTACCTGGAAATCGGTTATGAATAAGGAATTAGGGAATAAGGAATAAGAATAGGAATGTTCGAGGCCTATTCAGATCAGCTAGCCTAGCTATATTCTTACAACTGATGAAACAAGTCCAATCAACTTCATCAACATCAACATCAACAACAAGTACCGATAATGAACACAAAATATAATTTACATCAAGTACCGTACCGATACATGCAAGACTCAATTAACCACGCACACATTATCTCAACCCGATTCTTTTCAAATCTCTTATGATTCTCCTCACATCATATCAAGAATGCCAACCAATTCATCTAACATCTATCACATAAATATCACATCTCACAAAAACCACCATCCCATTCATATCCATATCCTTCAAAAGGAAAAGTAAGGAAAGGAACCCGTGGGAACTTCCTCCCCTCGGCTCTACCCCACCATCTGTAATTCGAGCGAGACCCGAGCTGGGCCGATACATAATACCACACATACCACATGCAAACGAAAACAAACCTCACACACCAACCACTACATGGAAAACATGGAAAACATGGAAACTATTGGTTTATGGGTAAAGTTCTATTCTCCGGTGCTCCTCATAGGTCATCATTCATTGTTGTATACTCAATCAAGTCTTAAGGTCAACTCACTGGTGAACTAACTCATCCCCTGCATTTCTTTTGATCTAGAAGATATGATCAAGATTTGAGATTAGATTCTAGTATTACATTGATTGATGCTTCTCCTTCTTCTCATGCTTCTCATGCATATCAAATCACATGTGAGTTCAAGTATGGTATAATCCATATCTAATCTAGTAATCATGGCGAACGAGTTATAAACCAAAGAAGTTCATCTACTTCCATAAATGGACATCTATTCCTTCATTCCATGCCCTAGTGCTGGTACTTGCATTCTCTTCTATTCGTATATTATAGATCAATTAGATCAATCAGATCTTAGACTCTACTACACACATCAATTGCCTGTCTTCGCTACAAATCTACCCATACTCCATACTCCACCTCCATATTCCCAGCCCCTCACTTTCCCCACCCGCCACCCCTTCCCCCCTCCCCCAGTTTCCCCTCACTCATAAACCTCGCCGTACCACCACAATCGTCACATACACCACCACCATCTCAATCCCACGATCTCTCTACCAGGTATTCAATCCCATCCCATCTCCTCCTATCCCCTCACATCTCTCCACAGTGCACACCTCTCACAAATTCAATCTTCATTTTCATCGTCATCCATCCCTGATCCTTCCCGCATCCACTAACTAATTCATCGTTTCAACTTTCAAGCCATTCTCTAACCGAACCCAAATCTCTTCACATCATCTATCCATCACTATCAAATCTATGTACTAGACATACCTACCCTCCTCATCATAGATCCCTCATCCTATCTGATCTAATCTAATCACTAAAACCCTCATATTACATACATACATACATACATATACATATACACACACATTTCAAACCTCCACAAACCACACAAACACCATCCACAAACCCTCATCCAAACCCCCTTCTCCCGCACCCCAGTGACAATAACAATAACAATAATCAAAAGAACCCCATCCAGCCAGCCCCCAAACGCACAACGAAATACCCGTAAACCCCCACCCATCACATTCTTCCTAGAAATTTGCTAGGTACTCTATACGCCTCAATAGGTAAATACTTACCTCTGCATTCTGTACACAACATCATATCACATCATTTTACCTGCCTTAGACTACCTACCTTACACACCAAAAACAGAAACAAAAACAAAGTAAATCCTCATCGTAAGCCTACCTACACATCCACCATGTTACTCGAGTAAAGCGCAAGAATAAAGGAGAAGTATCCATCCATATATGAGTACAGTATGAGATACATACACCACGATTCTATTCTTTTCTCTTCCTCTTCATCTTTCCCTTCCTCTTTCTCTTTCCCTTTCTCTTTTGCATACAATACAACACAATACAGCGTTGCGCAATACAATACAATACAATACAATACAATACAATACAATATAATGCAATGCAGAACTGGGAGCCCCCCCCGCATCCATCCACCCACTCATCTCCAAATAACGCCTCATAAACCCCGGCCATCGTTTTCATGGCTAGCTATCTAGCCATATAATACCATTTGATACTTATACCCCTACCTCCCCCTACCCCTCCATCCCTACCCATCCACGCTCCCCATCCCATCCCTACCTTACCCTACCCATCCACTTCCGCCAGGCCAGCCCTCATTACTTACCTATCCCCTCGCAAGATATTCCCTGTACCACCAGTCCCAACCACATCAATCCATCAATCACACCAAACGCATATTTCTATCAATTAATTAGTGATATCGAGATCGATGGCTCATATCATATCATGATCGTTTGTGAGATACTGGTAGATTTACATGTACGTACTACGTACTACGTACTTTAACATCATAGGAAACAACACTGCACAAATTATCAAGACGTGCATAGATATCCAAAAACATAAATTCCGTGGATTATATTATTCATCTGTTGATTACTGTATGTAAGTATGTATGGAAGTGGTAGGTAGGTAGGTATTCATTGATCGTAACTCGTCTATCATTATTACCGTGATCTCTCGCTTTAGCTTTCCTTTCACGTTCTCCCATTTCCCATTTCCCTTTCCCATTCCCCGTCCCATTCGTGTGATCTCATCGTCACCGTACGTACCATACCTAATATTGTCCAGATTTATCAAGCAGTTATAGTCACTGTACTCATAATTCATCTCCCTTAAAACATTCCTTTCTTTACCTTCCCAGCCAATGAATGTCTTCCCCCTTTCTGTGCAGCATACCTCAAGTGAACCCTATTCCCAACTCCCATATAATCCCCCATCGAAGCCAGATCCTTATCCACATCCCCAATTTGATTAACATCATTCATCCTAAAGCCCTCACTCTCCTTGAAAATTGTCTCATACAGCGAGCCTATAGCTGTAGTCCATTCATGCATTGCTTTTAGACGTTCCCCATCACTGTTATCCTCAATTTCGACCGTTCCATCTTGTTGGTTGATTTTGCCATTGACCTTTTTGTCGACGATCAAAAAACCTAAGATGTCTTGAACTTCCGAGACGGGGATCTGGAGGGCCTTGCCAATGAAGTCAAGTTTGAAGTGGGTGTAGGGGGCGATGAGTTTGACGACTGCTTTGGTTCTCATGTTTCGAGTGACTTCGTCAATGTTTTCGCGGATAAAGGTGTCGGACATGAGATCTTTGTTTCTCTTTAGGACGTCTTCATATCTGTGAATATCGTCTCTTTGGTATGCATCGACGAGATCGGTCATTGCGGCGATGCGAGGATCATTTTTATATGGTTTCGTTTCTTGAGATTCGAAGGGATTGATATCGGATTTCATCAACATGGTTGTTAAAACGAGATACTTGAGAACTTGGATTCGTTGTAGGGACCCAGCTTCGTCATAATCTTTGAATGATTGAAAGAAATCACTTTGAGCATCCTTCCAATTCTCCTCAGTCATGTGCATTTTCCCACCACATTCTCGAATGATGCCCATGATCCTTGGATGTGGTACTGCTGATTTAACCTTCAAAGCTCGTTCGTATAAACGCTTCAACTGCTTATTGTTCTTCGTCTCAGAATGCATTTGAATCTCGCAAGCGTAGATCTCCAATGAGTAGGTGCCCTTGCTTGGGTCATCTGTACCATCTTCTAGTTCACACGCCTTGCGAAGCTCTCGTAACTTCTTTGTTGTTGCAGCGTAATCCTTCCGGTCGAGGCAGAGTTTCGCCAGCTTGATATTGGTTTTCAGCCACAATCGTTCGTTGTTGGTACTCTGAAAAGATTGTAGAGTGTTTGAATAGAACTCCTCCATACATTTTCTAGCTGCATCATCTTCAGACCCTTTCTCGATAAAGTCGAGGATGTTGTTGATGGATTTTTCCGAGTAGTTTCGGGTTACTGCGGATTTGACATAGGTCAGAAGTTCGCGATAATGCTCGACAGCCTGGGCAATCATTAGATATGATCGGCCAAAACGAACAAATAACCTACCTTGTCATATAAACCGAGCTTAAACTCTAGCTTTATAGCTTGTTTTAAACCTTTAAATCCCCAATCACCTTTCTCTTGCTCGAGAGCTGGAACTCCTAGAAACTCCTCAATGGCGCCTTCGGGATCTCCAGATTTCATCTGTTTGGCATTATAGTATTTGTTCTCGATATTAACATCGGCATCCTCTTCATCGTCGTTTTCTTCGTACTCGAAGTCATATCTATCATGGTTAGTTGTGTATTGAAAGTCTTGTGAAGCCGCACATACTCCTCCTGGTCAGAATCTTGCATGAAATCATCATCGTCAGACATGTTTGCGGTACTTTTGAATTGTGAATAAGACGGAGTTATGGAAATGTAGTAATCAAATCAATTAGCAAAAATACTTTTGAGGTTTAGTGGTGATGGGTTGATAGATAGAATGAATGTCAAAAGTGAAAGGTCCAAGGCTGTAGGTCGTTTACCTAGAGCTTTCCAGCCTTGTGTGATTGGCTATTCGCTTAGGGTCTTTCTTACCTTTCTGATTCGAGCTTCCGCCTTGCGACAATTTGTACCTTTTATATTTCATCAATAACAAACACTTACAATCCAAAGTTCGCGCAGTTCTTAACTACGAGCTGTTATCAGAATTTATCAATCTCACAATTTAGTCAGCATATTTGACCTTTCTCAAGTGAAAAGCTCCGCGGTCTGCGCTTGCAATTTACTTCAATCAGCTTTCCAATAATATCAAAAAACCTCCAAAATGGGTGGCGATCTCAACTTAAAGAAGTCATGGCATCCGCATTTGATGAAGAATCAGACACGGGTGTGGGAAGAAGAAAAAAAAGCACTCGAGGAAAGAAGACGTACGGAACAGAGGGTCAAGGAGCTTAAAGAAGAACGAGCGAAAGAAGAGATCCAAAACAAACTCGAAGCCGCGGGATCGAGAAAACGGGTGGATCGTGTCGACTGGATGTACCAAGGCCCATCAAGTGGTCAAACTGGGACCACTGAAGAGATGGAAGGTTATTTGCTTGGGAAAAGGCGCATTGATGGATTAATTAAAGGCACAGAGCACAAGAATCTAGAGAAGCAAGCTTCTGAGGCTAGTTTTATGGCCTTACAAAATGCGAATACTCTACGAGATACGACAGCTAAGGTTCGTGAAGATCCCATGCTTGCTATCAAAAGACAGGAGCAGGCTGCATACGAGGCTATGATGAATGATCCAATTAAACGACGGAAATTACTCGAGTTAGCTGGGCAGGACACCAAGGAGATCAAACCGAAGAAGGAAAGAAAACATCGACATCATCATAGGCATCGCGACGAGGATGACGAAGAACGAAGACGAAAGCGTAGGAGGGACGAATACGTGGACAGTCGAGAGGAAGATCGCAGTCACAAGCGCCGCGGAAGTGGCGATGATTACGATGATGATAGGGATCGCAGAAGTCGCAAATCCGAACATCGCCGACGTTCCGGTTCATACTCGAGATCTCGTTCCCCCATGGAGAGAAGAGATAGCTTTGGAAGATCACAACAACCAAGATCAGTATCACCAGACAATAGAGAGATAGGAAGGCCGGGAAGAGAAAGAGACTATGACCGTCGGAGACCGATGTCACCAAATGAGCGCCAGGGTGCCAGATCAGGTAGAGAGCAAGATAGGATGCAGAGGAGGAGGAATAGTTCATCCCCTGAATCTCGATCCCCTACTCCAGAACGACGAAGATCCCCAAATAAGAGAAAATCTTACCCAGCAGATAGAGAGGACAGAAGGAATGATTACGACAAAAGGGATACCGAGAATAGAATTGATAATAGGCGTAATGGAAATGGTTATGGCAGACGAGATGATAGTAGACCCCAAGGTGGATTCCCGAAGCAAAATGGACCCTCCGAAGAAGAAAGGGAGATCGAGCGACAGAAGAAATTGGCCGCTATGCAACAAGATGCATCAAGTCTAGATATTGATCGCGAAAAACGACTCAAGGCTTTGGAGGAACAGGAGGAGGTGGCTCGTGAAGCTGAGGAGAAAGCACGAAGCAAATCGGCCAAGTACTCGGACAAAGGCGATTTTGTCAATGGTCTCAACCGAACTGCAGGAAATATGAACCTTGCTGATCGAATTGGACGCCGTGCAGGACAAGGTTTCATCAAGGAGGAAGAGTGAATATGTTATGTGTCATTTTACGATATCCTATGGTTGCATGTTTTCTAGTTGTTACAAAAACTTGATGACTTGCTGTCATGCTTTCATTGTTCAAGATAGCAAATTAGGAATCCAAGTGTTTTCAAAATTCGGAATCTCGAATGCTCTCCACTGAGTCAGTCCACCCACCGAGCCCACCCGGTCCACTCGCAATGTTGATGGTCCACAATGAAAATCTCGCGGCTCTAAAATGCCTTTCCGTACCCACCAATTTCCTCCTTTCAAGGATTCCCATCATTTGATTACACTTTTTGAGCCACAAAATGACAATTGTAATTCCCGGGATTCAGCCACAATCAATTTGTTAAAATTTATACTCAGGAGGAACTTGAAGATGATGTAGAGATAATTGAGATGGAAGTTAAGGGCGGTATACATCATCAATATTAATAGAGATGGGAATTGAATATATGAGTTAGGGGTTTCTCGAATACTATACTATTTATTATCTGCCATTGATTACCCCTTTTGTGACCTGGAAACATCTACTCGAGTACAGTATATCTACATCTTCCCCACGATATGAATTCAATCCTTTTACCCCCAATTAGACCAATAAGGAGAATTTCGAATTTCACACCTTCTTTTCCCCCCACCCCCTAAAATTGAATCCAGAACTCAGTATCATATCTCAGCGCCTCAGCAAATACCAATGGAAATGGGAGGAAGAAAAGGAGAAGATAAGAGAAGAAATCAACAATTTCCCGATTTTATATCTGCATTATCGTCCGTCGTAGATTTAATTATGTCTAATAAATTTACTTGTCACATCGCGAAGAATTCTTGAAACTTGTACTACTACTACTAAACGATAAGGAACCAAGACGACTCCAAATCAAATTAATATCTCCTTCCCTCTCTCATTACTACGAATATAATAAGCATTGATCATTGCCATACCATACCGGGTACTCGCACCAGAATTCCTTAATACCAATATCAAGAATTCACATTATTACAATACAATCAATTCGCTTCCCTTACTTCTTACTTTTTATAGATAATATTCATCTCTTAGGGATTGATTACTTATACAAACTAAACTTCATTACTTCATCAATTTCAGTATTTCATTTCAATAACAGGTCGCAAGCATACCGGTACTAGATCTAGCCTAACCCTAGTCGCTCTTTTTTTGGCCTGGCCCCCTTCTATTCCATCCAAGGTCTCTCTCACTCTTTACCCTATCCTATCCTATCCTAGAATCATACATTTTATCCATCCATTTCGTCACCGCGTTACCATCCGATACTCACCACCTACAAAATATAACTATATCGGTCTTCCTTCTCACCACACTTTTTACATACATAATATACTCCCCCCCTCATTAACTTTACAATATGCCGTGCGGAATTGGAGGATCAAAAACTACCCAGAGGAAATTGGTGTTACTGTAGGTTTATTTTCTTTTACTTTACTTGTTTGGCAGTGGTTATTTCAGCTCCATGTTTCGCTCGATGAGGGATAGGGGGAAGAAGAGGTGATGCCGGCACTCGTCATATTGCAGATTCGATCCGTTTTGATCATAATGGATATGATTATGCAGGAAGTCGAGTCGCATTAGAGGTGTAGTGGTGGAAATATGATAGATTTGATTGCGATTGCGATTGCGATTGGGATTGGGATTGTTCTGCAGCAGATTATGCGTATCGAGAATGATGACAGAGTTAATAGATTGCTAACGATATTCTAATGCGATAGAGGGGATGGTGCTTGTGGCAAAACGAGTTTACTTAATGTTTTTACGAGAGGGTAGGTTTTCGACTCAACTCACACCTATGACGTTGTATGAGATGAAAATAGAAGGAAGGGGCTGATATTGGAACTCAAGATATTTCCCAACGGTCTATGAACCAACGGTCTTCGAAAATTACGTTCATGGTATGTGCCTCTCATTCATGATTCCTTGTGCCCCTTTCCCATTCACCTCAAAACTTCCGCGGGATGCCGGGCTTACATTGCGCGAATTTAGATATCTTTGTCGATGGTACACATATCGAACTTTCCCTATGGGATACGGCGGGCCAAGAAGAATTCGATCGATTACGCTCGCTATCCTACGATGATACGCACGCCATAATGCTTTGTTTCTCGGTCGACTCGAAAGATTCTCTCGAAAACGTCGAGTCCAAATGGGTAGGCGAAATCGCCGAGAATTGTCAGGGCGTCAAACTTGTGTTGGTGGCACTGAAATGCGATTTGAGAGAACAGGGCGCAGAGGATGAAGCGGCGGAGGGCACAGAGGGTGCAGAGCCAAGGGAAAAGAAACCCATGATTGATTATAATCAAGGTCTGGAGGTGGCGAGGAGAATCAACGCGCTGAGGTATTTGGAATGCTCGGCGATGAGGAATAGGGGGGTTAATGAGGCGTTTACGGAGGCGGCGAGAGTCGCGTTGAGTGTTGATCCGAACGGTGGGGAAGGGGAGGGGAAGTGTGATGTTATGTAGTTTGGGTGTACAAGTGTGAAGGGACTTTAATTTTTTTTCCTTTCCGGGAAGGGGATGGGTATTCGACTTACTTCTTTGGGTTCTTATTTCTGGGAAGGGAGGCAGGCAGGCAGGCGTTGGTGGGTCGAGCGTGAAAATCCTTTGTGATTTGCGCTCAGGTGGTACATATAATTTTCATGAGCGAGAAGTAGAGAGAAATTGGAGCAGCGCGGTGGGGGGTTTACCGGGCTGCTTCTCTTTTGTTTCTAACTTTCTTTCTTCACTTCTTCACTTCATTCTCTCTTCGACTCTTCGAGTCTATTACGGCAGCTCTATTCTTTCTTTTGTTTGGGTCATGCCGGGGGTTTTTTCTTTCAATTCATGAATATACAATGTTGCTTGGAGTAGAGAAAAGCGAAGATGGGGTGGATGATTTTTTTTTGGTTGAGGAAAGAGAGGGGAAGCAGGTAGGGAGAGAGAGATAGAGAGAGGGGGAGAGAGAGAGAGAAGGGGAGAGGGGGGGTTAAAAAGCTTGAGTTTTGTTGGGGATTATGAGTTTTGAGGGGATGGATGGATGATAGCCATTGGGCGAAAGATAGGATAGGATATGATATGTGCGTGCGTGCGTGCGTGCGTGTGTGTTTGTTTCTTTGCATGCACGGCACGCACGCATGCAGCCAGCGAGCGAGCGAACTTTCTGTATTGTATTGTTAGGCTGGGTTGAGTTGGGTTAGAGATTAATATACGAATCTTTTTGGAGAAAGAGAGAGAGAGTGTGTGTGTGCGTGAGTGAGATAGTGAGAGTAAAGGGGAGGGTGATGAAATAAAATTTTGAGAAAGGGAATTTATCTAGCTTGATTTGGTAGGGTAGGATGGGGGGAATGAGGTGAGATATGAGTTGATATGAAAAATTTACTCGTAGGTTGACGAAAGGAAAGGGAAGGTGAAACTGAATTTGATCAAGAAAATGTATAAATAACTATTCCACTCGATTGCTCTCGAACATCAATCATCAATCATCAACGCTCAGAAGCTATGAAGGATGCCAGCTGCGCAACTTCCAATTTACCACAACGCCAGTTACAAGAAAATAAATCATTACTCGTAAAAATAATATTCCCTACCCCCATTTATATATAAATCAGCCCTCGTTCCCCAACTGCCCTTTAAACCCGAGTTCCACATCCCTCCTAAAACCCCACCATCCCTTCTCAGCCTTCTCCTTCGCCTTATCTACCACCTCTCTCCTCCTTTTCCTCGGGTAATTAACCGGGCTCTCGCCTCCCACAAAAATAGCCACGTCGTACAAGCCTCCTCCAATTAACGCTCCCGTGATCGTAGCTCCCCAAGCTCCATATATCCACCACGCATTCGACACTGTGAAGACTTCTCTACCGTAGCCCACAGCGGCGGTTGCGAGGCGGGGACCGAAGTCTCGCGCGGGGTTGAGACAGGCGCCGGTCGTGTAGCCGAATGCCATGGTGAGGACCGTGACGAGGAGTCCGACGATTAGAGCGTGCATACCGGCTCCGGGCGGCGCGTTCGAGTCATCTCCTAGGGCTAATACCGCACAGGCTAGGATACCGGTTGCGACGAATTCATTGAAGAAACTGGAGGCTGGGCTTGCGAATGATTTGGGTTGGGTATAAAAGGATGTGCCGCCAGTGCCTCCGGATAACAGATTGACGGCCTCCCCGTTGGCGAGCACACCACCTGTAGAGTTGTACATGGAAATTGCATCTTGGTAGATGCCATATGCGATGAGTCCAGCGAGAAATCCTCCGAGAATTTGGGCAAGGATATAGATGCATGCTTTGCGCATGGGAAAGCCACGGTATATACACAGCATGAGCGATATAGCGGGATTGAGATGAGCACCGGAAATTCCACCTGCTATGTAGATGCCTACAGTGATTCCTAAGCCCCAAGCCCAATTTGTGGATTGGTAGTTGCCTGAAGTATCGCCCGAGGTTTGAACTGCAAGATTGGTGGCTATACCAATGAGGACTGCTATCATTGTCTGTGAGTTTGTTAGGTGTGTAGAATCATGTGGGATCAATAACTTACTGCTAAACATTCAGCTAATGGTTCACGGAATTTGTTTCGAATTGATGCCCATGAATTGTAATTGTCTTTCTCTTCGCGAATATAGTGCTCCACTTCTTCACTGTTTAGTGACCATTCATCGTTTTCCAACTTATCCCCCCTCTCCAGATCGAGTTCGTCGTCATTTTCGTTGTTTCCAAAGTCTTCACTTTGCGTAGTAGTAGCATGTTGAATAGATGCTGACCCTGATGGATTTTCCTCAATATCAGAAAGTCGATCTGTGTTCTGCTGGCCTGAATCCACGTTGCCGTCATCCTGAGGCGACCTCCAATCATCCATAGGATTATCTCTCTCGGCTAGTGGTGTATCATTTTGATCCAATATAGTATTTTCCGGGTTCTGTCTATCGGATCTATGACTTTGTCTCCTCCCTCGCTCATGTGGTTGATGTCCATATCCTCGATCCTCTTCGCTTCTGCCAAGGCGATTTGATTTGTTTTTCGAGTCGTCTTTTTTCTGATCATCAATCATTCCAACTTGCGGTATGACCTCAGAATTCCCAGGTTCTGCATTTTCCGCATGCTTGTTCTCGACCGCATCATGTCTTCCTCTTCTCATTCCCGACCTGACTACTCGCGGCAGAGGTTTCGCTAATCCCCACACTGGAGTGTCCTTCCGCTTTTGATAATTTGGATTATAGTCGTAGTATTCTTTATCAACATAATGAGGTTCTTGTTGAGGACCCCCAGTATTACCAGCTAAGGAATATTGCGGTCGAGATTCGGGTGATGCATGATTTGTATGCTGCCGCGCTCCATGAGGTCGTCCATTCGGTGGCTGTGATCTTTTAGAGCCATGAACTTGAGCATTCGGACGGTTTGTCCCTGTATTTCTGGTAGTCCTTTGTGTATTGACGCTTGTGTCCCTGACTGATGGTGCTGAACTATTATGACCAGCTTCTTGTTCTCTCTCCCGATGTTCTGCCATGAATATTCACGTTTACAATGGATGTGTTGTCTTACTTTACCTCCAATATTGAAGGGCGTACAATGAATGACCTTTGGCAAGATAATGAAATATATTTACAAGACGTTTTCTACTTACCTTTGTGTGCCTTCATATATAACATTATGTGAGATGAATTTCTTGATTGAAAAGTCGTCATTAATGCAACGACGGAGGGGAGTTTTATGGGTACAAATTGATATCAAAGGGAAGAAAAGTTTAAAGATTCTCGGCAGCCATGCTTTGATGCAATATGTGGGTTGTTCGGAGCTGTTGGTCCTTAGTGAGAACATTTTTGTGGTTCTGGTGGTTTCTGTTTTTCGGTGTTTTGTTCCTGGCGGTTCCTTGAAGATGGTATATCACATAAGAAAATCATCTGCTATCTAGTTCATGGAACTTCCTTGTAAAATAGATTGAATGCACGTGATCTCGGATCGATCCTTACTTACTACTCTGATCTCTTTCTTTTTATTATGAGTCGTGAAGTGGCTAAAGTTCCAGTAGGGGTGGAATCTCTCCATCTCTTCTCCTACTCATAATCAAACCCTTACAGTACTATAAGATTTACCTATTTTTTCTTTGGATATGATCGACCTTCAACTAAGACACTTTCGTTTGTTTCCTTCTCTTTTCCGTCTCTTTTGAGAAGACTCTCCACTAACTGATGACACTATGTGGACTTAGAAGAAGTTGTCAGTATGTTGTTCGACTGACCACTGACCACTGACCACTGACCGACTGACCGGGCTTTGAACTCATTTCTTGAAATAGGAAGTATTCCCGCATCTTATATTCGATTACATCAGACCTGAAAATCCTGTATCTATCAAAATGGCAGGTAATCCTGCTTGACTAAGTTGACTCTACACAAAGTTGATGACACATGAATAGGATTTTGGAAAGAGTACATTGGATTTCGAATTCTTGCATCTATCGTGATTGCATGTAATCCCGGATCTGCGATATGCCTTTATGTCTTTGGGACTTTTGTTTGAGATTCTGTGATAAAGTTATCGAAGGATTGGGTATCAGAAGTGTACAACACCTAGTCTCGAATGAAAAGAACGACGGCTTCCCAAGGTGTTTGGAGATTCAAAGCGGCTTTCAACAGTCATTACTTTCAAAATCTTCATACAGCAAAGATGGATTCGGTGTGCCAAGTAATCCGTCAACGACAGACAGTTTCTCCCAGTTTTCTGCAGGATCGTCTACCAGTATATGCATGGGGCAAGAATCCATCACATCAACCTCAACAATGCTATCATATGAGAACACGTAATTTCCCGGCCACTTATCTGGTTATCCCCATGCTGCTCCCCCCCATATACCTATCTTCTACGTCATTCTTGGAAACCCTTGAAACATTGATACCGGGTTGTCCCAATTCTCAGTAGTCGTGATCCGCCCGATAATTTCAAGCAATTTGCTCACGTAGCCATTGACTTCGTTGGTATCTAATTGCGTCTCGTCCCAGGATACGACACAGCAGAAGCGTTCCTTGTTCGACATACCACAATTCCAAAAGAAGCCACTGCGAGTTATATGTCAGTGAACTTCTAAAAAATACTGAATATTGCAATCTTACCAGTCAGGCTAATCTATCCTCCCTATGGGATTTAAAGTCATGTAATCGTGCATGCCGGAATTGGATACTTCTAACTTACATCCCAGTTGAATACTTGTCGCATCGCAGCCTCTTTTACGATCGGTCCCTCGTCCTCGCCTAGCCCACTAAGGATCTTATGCCATGGTGCATGAGCGTGAGAACTTAGTGCTTCCTGATCTTGGCTCATTCTTGTCAACAACTCACCACACGTTTCTTTTGGCTTGATTTGTATCATGTTCATAGTCCAAGTCAAAGTGGGGCCGTCGATGCTCATGGCAGAAGGCAGACGATCTGCGATCCACTCGGGGAGAAATGGCCATCTGCGACCTGCGTCGAAGTTCTTGAACATTGCATATTGCTGCCCTGTTTGTATAACGTTGAAAAGAGAAATTGCAGTTTTAACAATGACTGATGCTTGAACCGAGTACTGAGATCGGATGCGCTCCATATTAGGGAAATCTTGTATTCGCGCAAGTCTGGGACGTGGCTGTGGGATCGAGTTGAGCTTATTCCTTATGCTATCCCGCGCGACGAAATTCTTCGACCCTTTATCGTTCCCAATCATCCAGCCAGGAGCTCGTTTCGATGGCCATAATGCGTAGGTGAATCTTGAAATACCTCGAAGCCTCCTGATGTGGAAGTTGATATCTGATAGTGCGAGCGAACTATCTTGGTACTGCTGATACACATTGGCGAACAGTTTGAAGGGCGTATTAGGTGTAGATATGGCCTCTGGATTTTGGATAAACATGTCAAGATCACTATACCAGGCATATGCGAACAAGGCATCAAAGACGGAATGATTCAAAGTTATGATCAATGCGGTACTTTTCCCCCCAACATCTGCAATTATTGCTCTGAGCATCCGAGATTCATATCCTTCGTCGAAATCATCAACAAGGGATTCTTGTACCTCTGACTCGTGAGAAAAACTTTCTTGCGTGATGAGAATGTCGTAGACAGCTCGGGATGGGCGGAGAACTGCATGAACAGCTGCCGCACCTGGAACTATAATTAAGACTGTGCGCAAAACTGGCCGGTTCAGAAGAGACCTCTCCAATGCTGCGCGAACCTGACCAGGATCGTGATTGTTGACCTTGAAGGCTATTCTGTGACGATATGATTGTGGTCTTTGCCCTTTCGCAAACTCCTGGAACGTGTCTTTGATGGTCAAAATATCTTCGACGTCGTTCTCCCATGTCAAGCCGAATTTGTGCATGACTGCATTCGCGGACTTAGCCAACCCTTCCTGGTATTGGAGATCATCTCCTCCATACTCCGAATGTGATGCTTCCCAAGAAGATTGACTAGATGCTATCAAACTGCTTTCCCTCTCGCTTCCAGACATATTGTCTGAAAGTTTGGTGGATGAATTTCCGTGGAAGATACGTTCAACCAGAAGCACTGCTTGCTGCTCAATGGTCTTGTTTCTTTCTAGGTCTGGCAAGTAAAGTCTCTGACCAAATCTGCTCCATAAAAGCTTACAGAATCTCAACCCTGTGATGCTATCGGCGAATTCTGTCACAGAATGTGTGATTGGGATGTCTTCTGGCACAGTGTTCATGAGTTCAACCCATATTTCACGCAATTGGCTTGTTATTTGCTCGTTCGGGGATATTTCTCTAGCCTCTGAAATTGTAGCAAAATACTTATTGACAATATCTTTCAACACGAGCTTGCGAACCTTTCCCGTCGCTGTCATCGGAAACATCTTCAGTTGAAGATCTTCTAATGTCACAATTGAATATGGTGCATATATTGGACCCAACCTTTCAACTACGGCCTTAGTCATGCTCGATTTGGTGATATCTTTGGGAGATGTCTGTAGGACCGCGACTGGTACCTCACCGGCGATGGTATCCTCGATTCCAACTACTTGAGCCTAAAATTTTCGAGTCAGCTTAGCAGAAAACTTTAGGGGCTCATACCCACAATTACGCCAAGGTCTTGGAGGCAATGTTCTATTTTCGACGGAACCAAATTTTCTCCTCCACGAATGATGATATCCTTATAACGACCATTAATGTAGAGAATACCATCTCCGTCTATCAGAGCTTGATCGCCAGTAATGAACCACTTCCCGACATCATCAAGATAAAACAGTTCTGGATCCACACCGTTCAAATATCCACTGATGACCAAGTCCCTCCAATATGAAGTTCTCCGGTTTCGCCTTTGTTAAAAGGCGCGTGGCTGTTCGGAGAGCAAATTCTGAGTCGAGCACCAGGCAGAACTTTTCCAACTCCGATATGGTGGCCATTCTTGAGCAACGGGTCGCTGCGCCTCCAGCTTACCATAGGAGAACCTTCCGTCATACCAAATCCTTGTATGACTGCCTCGCTACCAAGATTCTCTTTACAGAATCGAACGTCTTCGTCTTTGATCAAAGTTCCTCCCATGCTTACATAAAGTAGAGATATCGAATCTTTGCCAGGGAATTTTGGGTGTGCCACAAGTGCTTTCGCTAATAGGGGCACAGCTCCAATGTGAGTAATATTCTCTTGCTGAAGGGCTCGTAATGAGGCAACCACGTCAAATTTGTCGGCAGGGAATATCACGGAGCGTCCATCTCTCCAACCTCGTATGGTTTGGCCCACCGCAAATATGTGCCAAACGGGCGTGTGAATGAGCCATTTGTGCTGTCGGCCATCTTTGGGGGCAACAGGATCGTAGTCATGTGTTGCGGACCAGATGTTTGAGGCGGTATGAGGACATCCCTTGGGCAATGAAGTTGTTCCGCTAGTGAAGAGAATCATTGCAAGTTCTTCACCGGGCACCACAGAAACATCCTCTGAAGGGACAAATGAGCTGCTTTCTTTCGGTAAGCTGCTCATTACTTCAGGCAACGAATGCCAATTCATACTTTCATCTGGGATATTTGACAGGGATATCTTGACTTTCACGCCATCGAGGTTTTCAAGAATCGGAGATGCAATGTATTTGGGTCCAAAATAACCAAAACTTCTGGATGTGTGAGGTTCAAATAATATGTGGCATCAGTTTCCAACCATTTTGGGTTCAACGGAACGAATGGCATTTTCAACCTTGCAGCGACCCACAAAAACAGAACCCATTCGGCAGAGTTCCAGACGAATACTACAAGATTGCCACGTTCAGTGCACCCACATTGTTACAACCAAACTGCCAGTGTTTCCGCCTTATGATGGAGCTGAGAATAAGTCCATCTCAGTGGTGCTGAAGATGATTCAGGTGTAAGTGTTTCAACCTCGTCGTCATTGATCACTGATACTGTCTGTGACACAGCAGTTACTTGTTCAAATTCAAATCGTGAACTAAGGTGGTCTGAAGGCTGCCACAGCGAACAGACAGCTTCTTCGTTCGGATGTTTCTCGGCAGCAGCGGTAAACATATCCCATAAGCTTTTGTTTATGCTGGATATTTCTGCACCCAGACATTCTGCTTTTGAATTCTGGGTTGGCGAGACGCTGCCCGAAGCTATTGGGCTACTCATAGTATGTCGGACTCGGTAAAATAAGTACGTCCAAGGTCCAAGTCTATCTTGAGGATATCAATATCTCCTCGGAATATTGTTAAAAGCGACGTTTCGCAATAACGGCACCTTATATCAACGGCAAGATCTGAAATCTACACTGGTGACGATTTCACTCATGAGTCAATTGCCAATGTATCATACTGAAAACCCAGCTGAACGACCTGCCATTGCACTGCATGGGTTCAACCGTTCTAATGCTGGAACATCACGTCAAATTGACACTGGCGGATTATCATATTGGATCCTCTATATGATGACTATGGCAGACAATGCGAGATCGAACTTCTTGATTGGCCTCACAAGACGGGACTTCATGTCACCGATCTTTGTATCCCATGGGAGCTGACCGCATAGATAAGCCGTCAATATCTGTCCGGCGCTTCAGCTGACACATGCGCCTCAATGCGGTCATATACGACGTACCCTATAAATGCCATGTCTCCTAATCTGACTACTCGATTGTCATTTTCGGTTCTTACGCGAGCTTTCGCTTCACAATGATTATTTTTGCATGATGACTGCAACCTCATCCGCACTATTTGCACTCCTTGGTGTTACCAAAACCCGACTCTAACAAAAATGGCGATTCGAAACAAAGTTCCACAAGTAATTATTCTTGCTTGTTATGTGAAAATTGCGAAACTGTCACTTGAAGCTTACTGTGATGAATAACTCAGCTGACTCATACGAATTGGTGGAGTGCAACTCGAGGATCAAATATCTTACCTCCGTCAGAAATCTAAACGCTTGTACCTGTATTTACGTACAGTATTATGGGCAAATGAAAAGATACACGTTCTTTGGTGGCGCGGCTTTTAACTTGGAGTTTCTCAAGTCATCATTCTCTCAGGTGTGCTCCTCCCCTTTACACCGTCTTTGTACAGTTATGACCTTTCAATCAAGATTGTGTCACTTGCTCATCAGGCAAGATCTAACATCTTTCTATCTCTACTCCAAGCTTTCAAAATCTGACATGAAATATATGGTATACCTATCGATCCTCTGAGTCAGAAGTGGTCCCGTTCTGAGGTGAGATTCAACCATCCGTCCACGCAGGAAGACGCGTCTATCGACAATAGATCTCTCGGTGATATCATGAGAATTTATTGGCTGTTCATGGATTGTTTCGCATCTGCTAGCACCTGCACATGTTGACCTCGTGCACAGCCTTGACTTAAACAAGTTAAAAGGGCCTTGCTCTATACTAAGAGGATGGTGGCAAGTCGCATGTGAAAAGTTATCACATGTGTTTGCCCCCGTCAGTATCGACCATACCGAACGATCGGTATCTTCATATTTTCTTCAAGTCATTTCCAACACCAAAGTCCTCTTTGTCACATACAATCGACCTTTTTCAATACACAGGTATGGTATCGTTTCAGGGACTAGGTTCCGATATCATTGCGGTGTCTACAGCGTTATGTCTTCTTTACTATGTATATACGCAAATCAAGCTTTATTTTACTAGACGTCAATTTCAAAAAGCGAACGGCTGCCTCCCGGCGCAAACAAAGTATCCTTTGAAAGATCCAGTATTTATTTGGCCTTGACTTGGTGTTGAATACAATAAGGAATGCGAAGAATTTACGACATCTCGAAGCAACTTCTAAGCGTTATGAGCGGCATGGGATGACTTTCACCTCCAAACTCATCACATATCCAACAGTCTTCACAATTAATCCCGAGAGCGTGAAAACCATTCTCGCAACCAAATTCGATGATTTCCGTCTGTCTTCCATTAGGGTTGATGCTATGAAGCCTGTCTTTGGTCATGGGATTTTCACCACTGATGGAAAGCTATGGCATCAATCTCGTGCTCTCCTTCGACCTACTTTTGCCAAGGAAAGTATCTCTAACTTGGAAGTTGCCGAGATACATTTCCAGCATTTGCTAAGACGCACACCTCGTGATGGATCTACCGTCGACTTACAGGATCTCTTCTTCAAATTCACCATGGATACGGCTACACAATTTCTTTTTGGACATTCTATTAACATCCAATCTGATTCGGACCATTCATCTGGCGGTGTATCCGATGCAGAGTTTGTCGAGCAGTATACATATACCCAACTCGAAGCTTCTCACAACATCCGACTCGGACCACTTGCACAGTTTCGATACAACTCTGCAGCCAACAAGGCTCGGAAGACTGTATTCACTTACGTCGATCATTATATCGATGGAGCCCTAGATGCGCTCAAGAAGAATAAAAACAGTACGATCTCGAAAGAGAATGATTCACGTCCATATATATTCCTTGAAGAAATCGCCAAATTGACCACAGATCGACAGGTTCTTCGAGATCAAGTCCTCAATATCCTTTTAGCAGGTCGCGATACAACCGCTAGCTTACTAAGTAACCTATTTTTTATGCTGGCGCGGTACCCGAACGTATGGAGGAAACTTCGAGCTGAAGTAATGAACCTCAATGGCCAGCTTCCAACTTATTCTGACTTGCGAAATATGAAACATCTTCGCCAATGTATCAATGAGTGTCAGTCGATTCCTTTCCCCACTCTATGTATGGCTAGACACTAATGGAATTGTATAGCTCTTCGCATCCACCCGGTAGTCCCCGCAAATACTCGCGAAGCCGTTCGTGATACATTTATTCCACACGGTGGGGGCAACGACGGCCAAGCACCGTTATTTGTCAAAGCTGGCACACGAGTCTTGTATAGTGTGTATTCAATACATCGTCGTAAAGATATTTTTGGTGAAGACGTAGAGACGTTTCGTCCCGAGCGTTGGGATCATATACAACCAAAATGGGTATGGCTTCCCCCACCCCCCCTTTATCTAAATCAAATGATCTGACTTGATAGGAGTTTCTGCCATTTAATGGCGGCCCGAGAATTTGTTTGGGACGTAGGTTATTCTATTTTTACATTGTGAACCTAGAACATTATTGATTAGAATCCTGACTAATGACGTATACGCAGAACAATTTGCGCCGACTGAAGCATCGTTTGTGATTGTAAGAATGCTGCAGGAATTTGAAAAGATTGAGCAGAGAGATGAGAGACCGTGGATGGAGGCTTATACATTGGTCGTTTGTTCGTACAATGGGACAAGGGTGTCGTTGACTTCTGCTAGATGAGAGTTGGAATTTTAGGGCCGGGGGTGGTGGTTGGATTGGAACTGATTTTGATTTAGGTTTTACACTCTAGAGTGTAAGATTCTACTAGAAATGATGATTGGCGTGTCATATATTCTTACATTCGTACGTTTGGTATGTTCCTACTCTATGCTCCTTTTCAAGTGAGTGGGCTAATCAAGTACATATGGTTGATGGCTAGTCTAGCGCAGTTTGACAGGCAACTCCGGGCATACTACTCTAGTAGCAACACACACGAAGTATTAATCATATAATTATCCTTCTGGGAGAAATATTCTTGCATCAAATTGTTGTTCAAAGTCAAACGGGGGTAAAGAGCTTTCCGACAATATTCTTGGGGATCGATGCCTACTTTTTGAGTAACCTCTGCGAGCTTTGTGTGACCTTTTTAGAAAGAGATAGGGATCGAGCTGTGGAAATATATGCCATCATGCAATTCATAATGTGCATTTTTCGTGGCGCATATGCACGTGTTCCTGTAAGACTGTATTTTATGGTTGATAACATTTACCAATCTGACTGACTAGTGGTTATTAGAATGATATGTCATTTATTTGATTGTGCTGCCGCTTGAAGACTTGACCGCACCGAGTTAAATGGTGCATTCAAGTTGCTGTTATTGGACGAGACATCATTGTCGGCGATTCCTCCGCGAGGACTTTAGAAGATACAGAGAGAGTGCCCTGTTCTACCTCGCTTAAAGATGTCCAAGCAAATCTATGTCAGTTGAAATATAATGCTGCCATGTCCAAGTTCCAATCAAAACGCTCGATATTCTGAAGCATATATAATGTTCCTTATGCTTGAGTACGGAGTCGCATGACTGAGATCAACATTCTACTCCATCAATTTATCACCCATAGTTGCTGGTTGCACATTACTGTCCAAACATGAATCCGCTTCCAGAGCTGGGGCCACCGCTATGGTCATCGCCGAACTTTGGATTTGAGTTTCCAAATTGAGAATTAGAAGACGGATCTCCGAAGCTGAAAGCTACACCTGAACTTGAATCTAACCCAGTTCCTGAATTGAAGGGGTTAGTAAAGGCCAAGACTGGCGGTGCCACTTGTTTAGGCGGCGTCACCCAGAAAGATGCCAGGAATCTCTCTTCTCTTTCCTTAGCCGCTGCGATTGATTCATTTGTTGGGTAATAGTTCAAGAAATCTTTAATATCTTCGTATCCTGATATGCCCTTTGGTGCCGCCGCTCGATCTGGCCAGTAATTAGTCGTTGGCTGGCTACTCTCATAAATATACTTTTCCAGCACACTATCGAAAAGAAATCTACCCTTGGTACAGACATCGAGTAGTTGTTTTGCTGTCATGCGTTTATTTGGAGAATACGCCAGACATTGGAGTAACGTTCTGATGAGAGTCTTGGAATAGATACCCGAATTATTGATGATGGGGTTGTCAAGCAGACTCCTTCCGCACGTTAGAACCGGTGGCTTTGGTGTTATGCTGGGATCGCTGTCTAATGATGGAAATCCTACATATGCCATGCCTTGGCCAATTTCAATCCGCTGCTTCGTCATCACATAATACACTATTGCTGCTATTCCAAAAACATTGGCTGGTGTGCTATATGAACGATCCTCCATCTGTGGAAAGAATTGTTCCTTCGAGAGGTTAGGAGATGATGAAATAGGAAAAGTGTTGGGGTGAATTAACATACTGGTGCTCCCTATCCGAGCGTCAACTGATCACCAACATGTGCGAGCCATCCGGGATCTCGTGGATTTTCAGGAACGTGGGCTGACAGCCCGAAGTCTGCCATCTAAATCTTTCCTTAGCTCACTTTTTATAATAGGTTTATCAATTTCTATGGCTTCGGTTACCTTGAATATGTCAGTGTCATCATGGTTATTGTCCTTATTCCCGATGAGTACTATGCAGTGGAAAGATAAACAAGACTGCGATTCAACAAATGGGGCAGAATAACTTACTATTTGCTGGTTTAAGATCTAGATGGCATATAGGAATCCAGTTCTGTCTATTTACAATTTCCAAATCTTCATTCCCATTCTCCAGCATCATACACGCCCGAGCTAAACACTCAAACATACTCCAGATGACTCTTTCTTCAAATATGATACCGGCCTGTCTACCAACTCAGTCAGCGTAGTCTTTTCCGAGCCCTTTATCAAATGTCACTTACTCAACATGATCCATTGTCCACTTTTCAGCATCGCCCTTTTCACAAAATTCCAGATATATTCTACTCGCTACCATCTTCCGACGCTTCTGAAAATTTTCTCTCCCAATATCAAACATTCCTCCGACATGACGCGGCACGGCCTCGCCTTCGTGATATCCTCGATATATCTTCAGCACATGCGGCGTATTCCTATCCATGAGCAACTGCAGAAATATCGATTCATTTAGAAGGTCCTTGTCAGATCTTTCGGGCTGTTTAACTACTATATATTCAGGCATTCCTTGAGTTCCTTCAGCCGAGCCGATCTTTCGAAAAAGTTCTGCAGAGCCAGCTCCGCCTTTCCCAAGATGTCGTACTCCTTCCCATGATCTATCGAAGCCTGGCCATTGCTCCCATGTTTCGGATAGTTTGCGCCATGCTTCGGCTTGTTTTTGCTCTCGCTGAGAGGGGATATAGGATTCCCAATCGGAAGGTGAGGGTTGTCCGGGAGGTGGTGTACGGGGTGGTGCGGTGCTGAATATTGGGGTGTATGATATGTTGGGTGCTAAGTTGGTGCTTCCTAATTGCTTTGCGAGGCTAGATATCCGATTGACAGCTGGAGGTGGGCGTCTTCCAGGAGGTGGACGTCCAGGGGGTTTTCTTCTACTCGCCATTGGCGATCAATTCATTTATTCATAAATAACGCTGTAAATAGCATTGATAGACTTTTGAAATTGAACATCCTAAAGACCTTGTTTAAGTGGTTCAGAAGTCATGTTTTATTTGAATAAAGAAATCACTGTAAACGGGTTCCGAGGTTTGCCCATTTGAGGTGTGAGCTGAAAAGAGTTTCTTTGTTGCTTGTTATCCGAAAGCTGTTATTTTTCATCGCAACAGATTATAAAGAAGAAATATGTGCGTTAGTGCGTCAGTGCGTCAGTGCTGTTGTTGAGTTAAATGCATACTCGATATACTTGCTCTCCCTATTACTTAATGTTTTTTTTTACATTTTCACGGTAGTGAAATGACTCTTGGCAAGTGAAAAAAAAAGAATTATGAAGAGAAGGTCAACTTTTATAGGGCTAAAACACTTGGAGACTAATCATTTATACCTCTGAATTTTTCTCCGTTTCAAAGTTCTCTTTCTCATTGTCCGGCTCTCTGAGCCTCCTTTCTTCCTCGCCGCCACACTCATTTCCCTGCTTTATCCCTTCGCTAACTTGAAGCTCCCCTGACCCACAACGTTTCTCGGTAAACATGGTGTAGAATCTGTGGCGTTCGCTCTCCCATTTTCACTCACGATTAGTTGTGAAAGCTACAGGTGTCAGGTGGAAAGAAAGACTTACTCGTTTAGGTTTATATGGGGCGGCCTGCCAAAAAAACATCTAGAAAGGGGCATGCTGAATAAAAATTTAGTTTAGCGAGCTATTGCAAAAGAGCGAACAAGTGTTGGTTTGGTATCCTCTTGTCTCTCTCTACCTTCTACACATATTCACTCTGGCCATGATTTTAAATCGTCACAGTCACATTTCACATTATCAAAGTCATTTGAAGTAGATTTTTTTTTTAAAAGTATAATTCTAATATATTACCCTTTCTTACTCATGAAGCCATGAGCTCCCGAAAGTC